TTAAGAAATTGTAATGATCTTTTCACTTCGATCTTAATTTACTTTCAATCTGACCAATTGATTTGTTAAAATATGTTGAGTTTTACAACTAAAGTGAAGATTATATCCAAGATTCAGGAATGTCAAAGCCCTTGGAAGTTGGGTGCAAATAAATAGGGAAATAATATTATCGAGCGTAGAATTGGAGATTTTAGAGTGACAGACTAAAATCCCTAATTCGGTCCTATCGTTTGGGTGCTGAAGTGTAGATGTTATTCCTCAGGCGAGGGGAACGTGAGAGCTCCGAAGTGAGAGCCGGTATCCTCCCAGCCTACCTGCAGATTCAGTAAACAAGCGTAGGATTAGTCAATGTTCTTTATGCCTGGACCAAAGGGTAAAGAATAGACACGCTCCTATTTGACACAATACAAATTGAACTGATTCACTTTATCCATTCACTATAATTTCTTGACAAGGAGAATGATGCTTTCTTATATATTGAATATCACATTAAAAACTTCATTAGTATATTTAGCTATTTAATAGTTAAAATTACATATTTATTTCAATTGCCTATTAATGACAGATAAACAAATTGAATTTTGTTGTTGCAATTAAAATATTGCTTTGCTAAAATCTTAGTTCGTAGTTCTAATATGTTCTAATATTCTAATATTACTCCCTGTGGGATCGAAATCTAGGACTCCATTAGAGCCCTATATTACTTGAGCGATACGTATTCTTGCGTTGATAAGTGTGACTTTATAATTATTGAATATTTATTACATCTATATTCATCAAATCTATAACTGTCATTAAGTTTTGGTACAGTTGTTGAGGAATTAAATCTTTTAATCTTTTAGCAGCAGTATTAATACTTATATTTTTGAGCATATATAAAGTCGCGGTCACAAGTTAAAATTGATCGTAGAAATCCTGCCAGCTGAAATTAAGCACAGATTCACGGATGTTAGATTTGGATCTCTGTCGCAAGTCTATTCCCTGATAGCTTGAATCACATCATTGTAGTCGCGATCCAATCATAAGGTTCGGATGTCGTGAAATTGGAGAAAGCCAAAGATTCAGGCCTTTATATGCTGCTTCCCTGTTGCTGCCTTTCCCGGCTAGCTCTGATCGCGACTGTATTGCGTAGATGACGCGAGAGGAAGATAAAAAAAATGGGAGTTTCGAGTCTCGGTACGTTCTTCCCAATCGCAGCCTGGTCAGCTAGCTCTAATTGCGATTATATCGCGTAGACGGCGTAAGAGGAAGAGAAGTCGGCTTGAGAGAATTAGAAACATGGGATTTTTTGGTCTCTTAACGTCGCTTCTCAGCCGTTGTGCACTAGGGCACGCTAGATCGAGCAATCCTATTGTTCAGTATGTTGAAATTGCCTCTATTTGCTTCAGGTTCATCAAGTAGATTGATCCTCTCTGATAATCTGATTCCCAGAATCTTGAGCTCTGATACCAATTTGTTACAATCTAACATCAAATTCGACACGCTTTTTCATAGAAATTAGGAGAAAATTTTTAATAATCCGAACAACTTAATAAGAATACAAAGATAAACACCTACAATTCGAGAGGTAGGTGATTTCTCCAACTCCTACAATTTGAGAGGTAGAAAACCTCTCCCAAAACCTAAATTTAAGACTCACAACTCAATCTCATATATGCCCCTAACCCTAAACATAAGAAGTCTATTTATACTGCACAATAATAATAATAAAAGACTAAATTGCCCTTAGGCATACAAAAGACAAAATCGCCCTTAGGCTAGGTGCCAGTGTATCAGAACAATTCCAATAGTAGGAGCAAATGATCTAAAAAGGTGGATCTTTGATTCCAAGGGATCTCTAGGTAGAAATTTCATATGATTCTATTGAAGCTACGATCCAGTCATTAGGCGTCAACATGTGATTATAAATTGTTAAACAGAGGTCCAGTATTAAAGTTGGTTGAAAAAACAATTTGAATTATTGGATGGGTGATGGAGAGTATAATTTATGCTCAAGTTTGAATTGCATTTTCGTAGGAGTTCATAATTGTAATTTCAAATAAGATTGTTATGGAGTTTTCTTAGAGTTTGTTTTCTTCTTCTATGGAGTTACATTATTGAATGATTTAATTTAGTTCTTCTTGCATCATGCAAATAAATAGGTGTGATTCCTACAATGAAAGACATTTTACATACCATTTTCTCTTTTCTCTCTGTTCTTTCCTCTTAGCCATCCCTATTCAGGCAATCTAATAAGCTGCTCCACTTCCTCTTATCCAACAATGGACGACATCTTTTCCAGTCTTTGTCGCTGTTTTAAAGCACCTGAAAAGCTCATGCAATTGTTGGCCAGTTGCCCAATTATTTTCCTGTGCAATTTTTTAGGATAATGAAATCCAAATTTTTTGTTTCTAAGTATCCTGAGTGCATAATAACTAGTATGTTTGTAACTTTTTGCAAAACAATTAACTATTTTTGCCTTTAGCAAACCTATGATAAGTACAATTACATGCTTGTTGTTTTTTGAAGAAAAGCTAGTCGGGAGAAACTTAATTCTTTGAAAGCAATCTGTATGAAACCTAATTTTTTTTGCATAAAAATTTCGATCAATTTTGAAGTTTTAATTTGATATTGATGGGCTAGTTCCAACTTGCAAGATAACATTTTTCATAGTTAAATTAAGAATTGGAAGGATACTCTTAGTAAATTTATAGAAAGTTAGGACTACAATTATAAGGAGATATTTTATACAATCGAGAAAGGGTCTTAAGTAAATATAGCCGAGGAAGTGGCTAATTAGATGACCATGATGAAGGAAACCATTTGCCTAAGGATGGCCTTCCTCTAAATGATAATATATAAGAATACATGACAACCTTTAGAAGATAGGCAATTTCTTATGAATTTTTCTTGAATAAAAAGATTGCATTCAGGAAATATGTAGCAGAGCTTTATGAAAGTGCTCTCTAGGCTGAAGCTTTTTCCAATTTCGGACTTTGCTTGAAGCTAGCACATAAGCTACATCACTTGAGAATAGAAACACTTCTTTTTATGTTGGGCAAAAATTCTTTGTTGCAACTACAGAGAAGGAGAATGTTGAAATTCAACTACAAAGAAGCATGATAAAAAAATAGGGAAATTTACATACATACCACTCAATTCCTCTGTAGGTACGCATCTAACACCTATACTTCAATTGTTTCATACGCGTCATCCTTTCCCTTGCATGAAGAGGTGTATTTTCACTTTTTAGAAGTTAAAATGGTGGTATTTTTTATGTGATATGAAAGATTTGGGTGGTATACATGTAAAACATAAAGTTTAGGTATGTGAAGTTATGCTTTTTCATGTCTATTTCTTTTTTTTATTATTATTTTTTATTTTTATTTTTTTTGTCAAGAGAGTATAGCATAATTTTTTTTCTTTTTTTGGCAGACGATCATTATCCCTTGAATGATTGAGAATGAGGATATAATGGCGGCGGCAGAAGCTCGGGCTGCTTGGCAGCGCGCTGCAAATCGTTGCTTGGTCCAAGAAGATGCTAAGAGAGCTCCAAAATTAGCTTGCTGTCCATCATCATCATCTTTTCAGCAGAACGACTCAAGTAATACAGATGCTCCCAATGGACATGATCAATGTGCATCCGGTTTTATGCCCTCAAGTTGGAACTTTGTCAATTCTAATCTTCCCTCCGACACAAAATGGTGGCTCCAGATGCAGCCCAGCTTTGACTACAAGAAGGATTTCATGTTTGAACAACTTAAAGACTTATCCAGTGAGCATTTGAATGAAGAAGAAGCAATAAGCCAAGATTCTTTCACTCATGAGGAAAACCATGGTGGATTTACAGACGGTGAGGATAAGAAAGACTTTCCTATGGAGTCTTCCTACATGGCGTCAGCAACTTCAATGGATATGAAGGAATTAACTGGTGCTTTATCGCAGAAGACACTTAAGCATAAATTGGACATCAGAGAATATTATTTCCAGAAAGAACTTTTAGACACAAAACCATTGTCATCCCAAAAGAAAGAGATGGCTAAGTTGGACTTGGAAACACCGTGGGAGAGAAGTAATAAGTGCGAACCCTGGTGGCGTGTTTCGGATAGAGAAGAATTGGCTTCTTTCGTTGCACAGAAATCACTGGAGAATATTGAGAATTGTGATCTCCCCAGACCCACCCATATTTGTAGATATCCATTTGATTGTCTTGAGAGTTGGGAGGGTAACAGAATTTTCTCTTCATTGCTTGGTTGCAATTTAGATTCTGGTATGTGCCTGCCAAATGATTATCCTGAGCAAAGCTATGCAGCTAAGGAGGTGGACGGAAAATATTTGCGCTCAGATCAAGCACATCCCCTGCCTTTGACTACTGGAAAACAGGACAGGTATGTCTTTTATTCCTGCACATATCGATGCACATTTATTCTGACATCTTCGTTATAGAACTTACTATGTTTACAAGCATGGATGAAGCATATAGGATCTAAGGATTGTTAACGGAACAAAATTAGATTTTACGAGATTTGGCAGGTTCAAAAATTCAAAAATAGTAAGGGAGATGTAAATGGAAAATATAATTAATGACACAACCGAAAGCATAAATGAGAAAATTGATTTTTGAAAAATATTCAAGGATAGTAGAGCCAATTTGAATATATATATATATATATGTGCACATAGGTACTCATATAATAACGCTAATGGCGCTATTATTTTCAGAATGAATTGGCCATCTTGTTTTTAGTTGGCACTTGAGGAAGCTATAATGTCTTTAGCGTCCAAATGCCTATCAATGTTATTTTGTTTTCAAAAACTTGGCTGAACGGGTTCAAACTGTTCTTTTCCATGCAGTAACTTATACTTCTTTTTTACTTTTTAACTATATAGCTATAATGCACATTCCCAGTAGCTCCTAAATATTTGTTGTTGATCGAATAATACGTTTCATTGTGCGAAGAGAAATCTTAAGGATTCGTCATTAGGGAGTAATGTTTGTGGATATAATGGCTTTTAGGAATGAATAGAAAATGCCGAACATATCTCGAATTATAGAATGGAGAATTAATATCTTTAAATATGACACTTCTTTCAATTTTAAAATTTTGTGAATTGTAAGAATGAACATTGAGGAATTTAAAAGAAATGAAATGTAAATTAATTGATGGTAATATGATATAAGAATGTAGGAATGAAAATGTTTTGATGAAAAATGTAGATATTTTGACATAGTACATAGAGGACATTTAATTGGAAGGATGTGTTTTTGAAATTTTCATTGCTTTTTAATAGGTTTTCAGCATTTTATTCTGGACTAATACATTATTGCTTGTGGATAAACCTTTGGAGACTTCTGTTAGTATATTTAAATGCAGATCATGATGTTTATTGTGGAATTATATGTAATAGTCAAGCCAAGGATATTTAAAGTTAACGGTTTTTAATCTGTCTAAGTATTTATGTAATGGTTGCATAATCAATTCACTTTCTTTTAGAAACTAAGCACATCACCAAAACTTTATGCTTTTTACTATTTGATAAAACAACATGCAAATTCGACTAAATAAAAATAATATTTTTTGATGCATTTACATTTATAGCACACTATTTTTATATATTTACATATCTCACACATAAACTTTCATATTTATGCACATAGCACTCAAATCATTAATATCACATAAAAAATAGCACTATTTCCACTTTTAAAAAGTGAGATCTACCTTTTCATACCTAGGTTTAATGCATCAAAGTGCCATATATGTAAATATGAAAGTGTAGGTGAGAGATATGCAAATACATAAGAATTGTGAGCTGCGTATGTAAATTTCCCATTTTTTAATAAGTATATCGCAGTTAATAAAAGTGTATATTATGATGTTTTTAAACTAAACTTCTATTCTAGTAATTGTTTTTTTTTTCTGGGATTGTCTTCATATGGATTGTTTGGTTCTTTTATAAATGTTCCAAGATGCTAAAATGCCAACTCTAAAATTATGCTTCATATATTCAATGAAGTTGTTTATTTATAATATAGAAAGAGAACAACAATTTTTTTTTTTCTTTAAATTTTCTTTCCTGCACTTAACTTCTCAATCTATTTCAAATAATTATTCATACAAACTCAAAACTAAATCATGTGCAGTGATGCCCGGAGCTCCAATATCACAGCTGCTATTGCACCAGAAACCCAGCAAGACTCAGCAAGTGATCCAAGCAGGACGAAGTTGCTCGAAGCCCTCTGCCTTTCGCAAACTCGAGCACGAAAAGCTGAACTAGCAGCTCAAAAAGCCTATGACGAGAAAGAGCACATTGTGAAGCTCTTGTTCAAGCAAGCATCGCATCTCTTTGCTTACAAGCAGTGGCTTCAAATTTTACAGTTAGAGAGCCTCTTCCTCCAGCTGAGAATCAAAGACCACCAGTTCTCTTCTGTTCTCCCCATCCTTCCATGGATGCCATTAAGGAACAAACCAGTCACTAAAGCTGGATGCGAGGGAGGAAGAAGAGGGAGGAAGAAGCAGAAGAGATGCAGGTTATGTAAATATGCATTACTCATTGCTGTTGGATTAGGCCTTGCAGGTGCAGGTCTGTTCTTAGGATGTTGCTTTGGCTGGTTCTCACCAAACTTTTAGGAGAATTCTTCCTTTATTGTATGTGAAATCTTGGAATATTTCAGGTTGAAGTTTGAATTCAATGTTCATGTTTCATGGGTCGCAATGAGAAGATGAAGTGCTGGTAATTGATGGGTTTTTTTATGTTCTTCTATTTGTGAGTTGGTTTTTACAGTAGATGTCTGTGGAGATTGTGTTTTCTATGAATTTAAAATTTATACATTTTCTAAATGTATATTGATGTATATATTTATATAGTTAATTGTGAAGGCATTGTTTGCTGTTTCATTACAAACTATGTTATGGCCATTGTGCTTTTTATAATACAAGTAAATTTTCTTATGTTACAAATTTCCAGGCCATATATGATGAGTGAAGTCCTTGATGCTAATCCAGAAAACTAAAATGTCTAACAGAATACAATATTGTCAGTTGCTATTCATTGATGATAACACATGTTTGTGAATTCCTGAAGGATAATTACATGCAGACCACCCTCAACATTGAGATTTACAAATTATGCGTCCAGGTGATTTTTTTTTGAACTACTGAATCGGTGTATTTACGCTTGCCATGATCAAACGATTAGGAATTTGATAAAAATGAAAAATGTAGGTTGGGAGGGTGGTGGATTTGTAAAATATAATAATATTAATGTTCGAAATGTCCATCAAGATTATAACTGTCAATCCAACTAAAGGATATGGATGGTTAAAACAAGCAACATAGTGAAAGACCTTAATATGCCTAGGGGTGTAAACTAGCCGAACACGAGTGAGGCTCTCTGTTCGTGTGCGGCTCGTTTATATTTCAAGCTCAAAAAGTATGTTCTTGTTCAACTCGTTTCCTTGACGAGCCGAACACGAGCCGTTCACGAACAAAGAGTTGTTTTGACAACCTTAATAACAACTCTAATCATCTAGCCATAAGATGTTAAAGATTGGGGCAAAATTTAAAACATCATTTGAATCTAATTTAATAATTTTTACTCTATTTTCTTAATTAATAAATTTAATTGATTATAAATCTTAGTAGCCTTCTAGTTTATTAATTTTTTTAAAAATTCAACTCATATATATATATATATATATATATATAATTGATTAGTAGTATTTCAAGTCATAACGAGCCGAACACGAACGAACAAATATTTGTCGTGTTTGGCTCACTAACTTAGCGAACGAGCCGGACACGAGCTGTTCACGAACAACGAGCCGTTTGACAGCCCTAAATATGCCATTATTAGAAATGAAATAAAAAAGTAAAAATAAATAATTAAAATATTGAGTTAGTTTGATGTACAAATAAAAAAAATCATAATAAAACAGAATAATGTTGAATAACAATATAATCGGATCAACAATATTATTATAGCATGGCATGGCAATTTATCATGTTGAATAATTTCAAAATTCTCTAAACTTTCATCATGGTAAATGATTCTAGATATTATAAAAAAGAATATGCTTCTAGGTAATGGACAAATCCGTGTTCAAACTCTTAAAACAAAATGGTAAAGCCATCCATCTTAGCTTAGTTGTTAATATAATCACATATGACCATGTTCAACAAAAAAATGAATGATAATAATAAAAAAAAAACAATTTTAAAATCAATTATGATATCATGATTTATTAACTATAACATAATACAATAGAAAGGACTCATTGAGCATGCATCAATGAATACAAACTAAATTATATAGAACTAGGCCGGTAAGCGAGCAGCTTGAGTGAGCTCAAGCTTGGCTTGTGTTCAATTGGTTTGAAAGTAATTTTGTTCAAAATCTGCTCGTTTTCAAAATTGCTTGTGAATAATGTGTTTGTCTTCGACTCGATCACATATTCTTGTTTGTTTTCAACTCGAAATTAGCTCGTTTAAAGTAATTGAAAAAATAACAATAGGGTTGGATTCTAATTTTAGATATAATCATATATAATATATTATTTCATAGAATATTTATATAGACACACACATACACACACATATATCTATATATAGAGACATTTATATATCTATATATGGAGACATATATATATATATATATATATATATATATATATATATATACATACACACATATTGATACATATCTATATTTTTATATAGATGTATATCTATATCTATATATTTTGTACATAGATACATATCTATACCTATATATGTATGTATGTGTGTCTATATATATGTATATATATAAATAAATATATATATACACGTGTGCGCGCAGACATACATACATATATGTATGTACATATGTAGATGTAAGTATATATAGGTATATGTTTGTATATATGTATATTTAAGTTGGTAGATGTTTGTATATACGTATGTATATATGTATATGTATGTATATATGTTTATGTATGTAGATATGCATATATACATACATACATACATATATATACATACAGACATACATATTCACATACAAACATACATATATAGGTACATACATACATACATACATATATAGGTACATGTATGTATGTATACACACACACACATACACACATAGTTATGTATATATGTAGATGTACGTATATATACATATAGGTATGTATATATGTTGATGTATGTATATATGTATATGTATGTAAGTATATGTATGTATATATGTATATGTATGTAGGTATATGTATGTATATGTCTGTAGATATGTATATATACATACATATATACATATATATATATATGTATGTATTAATTTTTTTTTAAATATTATATGCATATTAAATTTAAAAACAACTTTCGAAATTAAGGCGGCTGACAATTATCAACTTAAAAAAAAAAAAGAGTAGTATAAAAATATATGATTAAAAATTGAAAATGCCAAATTATAAAAACCTAGTCACATCAAGATGCTCAAGTAAAAGGGAGACACCACCATAATCAAATTTGGAATCAGGGCCAAAATTGGGATTGTTGTAATTTAAATAATGGGATTTTCTTGGGAGGTTACTCTCTTTATGATAGCTATGATGGCCCAACTATTAAAGCATAACTAAAAGTTAATTTTGTATTAATTATCATTTTAGTCTTAATAATCAAGAGTGATTCATTTGCACACATGTGATGATGAGTTTGTTGTTTGTTTTTTAGGGGTAGGAAATTTTAATGAATTTTGTATACTTACATATTGTATATTTTCTTAATTCTTTTTATCAAATAATCAACCCCTTTGATTCTACCCCTTCAACAATATGCTAAAGTAATATTTTCTAATTCACCACCCCTTTAATGTATATTTGAATCCATGATTTGTTAACTTGAAGTACCACTTTCTAATGATTTGCTAATTATATATATTTTTTACTCTTTTTAGCTAAGAATGAAGAAGTGATTATCTAAAATTGGTTGCATATTTATTTAATTTTTATTTTGCATTTTAGTATTTTCATATTTTATTCTATTCGTATTATTTGCATGCTTTATTCTTTCATTTTCTTTTCTTAATTTACTTGATAAAATTCATGAATAAGAAGAGAATTAATTCAAATAATGTATGACTGTTTTTTTTATAAATAGTGGTTTAATTTTTAAGTATAATAACTGAGTGGTGTAATAATATATTATTATGATATAAAAGGTTTAATGATAAGAACCCATGCAAATGCTCAATTACATAAAGATACTCAAGTAAAAGAGCCATAAAATTTAGGACCCAAGCAATAAGATTCATCATAAAATGCCCATACAGAAGCCTAACTAATGCTAAAAAAGAAGCCTAACTAATGTGTATTTCAAGAGCTTAATAAAGAAGATATAATTAATTAGAACTTGAGTTTTAATATTCAAGTTTCATATCTTGTGTTTAAATTTTAAAATTCTAATTTAAAAGACATGTATGGCAACCCATTTAATAAATTTTAAATGATAAAATTAATTAATGAAGGTGCTTTGTACCTTTCTTCATTAATGACTGCTAATCTTTTTTTCCTATATAGATTTCCTCCTTCTTGAATGATGGTGTACTAAGTTTCAATATAGTCCCTATTGAGAGGGCAAGCATGTAGCAAAGTTCTCAATTTAAAAATGATAAAATTATTTTGGAGATTTTTTTTCTCTTTGCGCTAATGTTTGATAGCTTGGCTTTATATTTTATTGATGAGATTAATTTTTTTTGCTTACAAGTACTTTAGAATGTTTTTCAAGACATCTTTAATCACCCTTTTAACTCCCACTACATATTAATCAATACCTAAACCCAATCAATCATGATTTATATGATGTAGAACATCATCTAATGAAGCCAAGAGCCCACTTACAAGAGCCCAAGCAAGAACCCAAGAAAGTGCTCAATTAAAATTTAATTCAAAACCCATCACAATACCCTATCAAGAAGATATATTTGAATTTCTTTTTTATTGTTTATATTTCAATTTCAGTTTCTAGAAAATTTGAATTTTCACTTGGAGGCTTTTATGATAGATCATAAAAAAATAGTAAATTAGGAAGATGGTTAGCATCTTCCTGCATTAGTGGCCACATACCATTTGCTTCAATATTTCATCCACATTTTATGGATATTTTTTATCATTGTAATATCTATAAAAAGGACTTATATGTATTGAATTTTCATCAATTATTTTATGAAATATTTAAGTGATAATTGTTTCTCTTATTGCTTGATGCTTGGTGTCTCTTTTTCTTTGGTGAGATTAGATATTTATTTTTTACTTTTTTTTAAAATTATTTATTATCCCTCCATAATTCTTACGCTAAAATTTTCACCACCCCTCGTTCACATCATAAACATTTCTTAATATCATTAACCAACAACCAAAGCCTCACAACCATTCTAAATCCCTCGTCATAGCTCTCAACCAAACTAGAGCATATTAAGGCCTAGTCTTGTTCTCTAGCCCTCAAGCTCTCAACCCCGTTATAAATCCATCCAAAATTATGAATTTGTTGCATATCATAGGTATACATCCTAAACTAACAACCAATAATCACTTCTAGCCATTTACACAATCTTAAGCCACTTTCCTAAAAGGGATATTTCAAATCAGCTCAAATTAGCCAAATCTATATTAGTCTTGATATTTTAGCCACCATTCTCTCCTATATAGTTAAACAATCCACCAAAATATTCACATCATATCATTAAACCTAACAACAAATATTCATAGCAATTTTTAGTATTTAATCTCATTCAAAGTCCACCACCTTCATCATATTTAGTATCAAAGTCAATCAGGGAAGGAGCTGATTTGGTCAGAGCTTCAGACATCTGAGAAGAATTTTTTTTTTGTGGAGAACATGTTTCTATAAGCTTTTGAGTTAC